CCGATCTAATATTCTTGTGGCTTCGGGTCATTTGGGCTTCTTAGTACTACCAAATTGCATCAAGGTCATGGGTTTAAACTTTAATTCGTGGCACCAGCAAAGCTACTCGTTCCAGTTCTAAACACAACCCAAATCCAATTTATTGTATTTAAATTACAGGATTAAGGATCTGGGTCAATTATACTATATTTGGATGAGATTTTTATGTTAACTTGATTATAGATTAAAATTACGCCAAGCAGATAATCAAGTAACACATTAAAATTCATATTTCTTAAATTATCGGCTTTAATAAAAAGTATTTGAGTGTCATCAAAAGAAACTACGACAATCTAAAAATAGATCACATAGTTCATTATGAAATTCATAAGTGATCTATTTTTAGATTGTCGGGTTTTCTTTTGACGACACTCATTTATGAATTGATTTTAATTATAGGATTTCAATGTTGTATTTTGTCTTTATAAGGTATAATTGCGGTTTTTAGATTTTTTGCACCGTACGTACATACGTACGTGAAATTTTTAATATGTTAATTTATATTTGCATTTAAAGTTAATACTTGGATCCGGATTTAATCATTAAATCTGAATTTAATTGTTAGATCCAGATTTAACAATGTATCTAGTATTGTCACTATAAATCTGAAACGGATTCAGCGATAAGAAATAGTCCCAAAAAGTGCCTTAACTGTTTATTTAAGGATTTGGATGATAGTCTGATTCTAATTCAAAACTTCGAATGTTCTAATTTAAACTTTTAAGTACAATAATAATACAATTGATATTGTATCAATATAACACAAATATGTGCGTACTATCGCAAGGTCGTTTTATGTAGAGCTATGTAAATATTTTATGTATATTTTATTTAAAATTATACATAGGTCTATAATTATAATTTATGTATAAATATAATTATAAATAATATTTATTTAATAGGTATCTAAAATTTAACAAATATAATGATATGCTTAGCCAAAAAACTAGATTGTTAGGATAAAATAGTATAATTAGAGTTAGGGTAAAATTACAGGATCATTTATTTATTAGCAACACAATAGGGTTTACTGGTAAAATTTTGAGATATTGACTAATTCTTTCTTTAAAATTCATAATAAAAATTATTTAAGTTTTATAATATAAGAAGTTTATATAATAAATGATATATATAAATTAACATATATAATTCATATATGTATTCTATATAATAACTATATAAAGTTGTAGATTTATTTGGATTTTATAAACAAAACCACTTGCTGATTGTTTTAGGTACTGATATTATTATGTAATTAATAACAAATGGGATTTATTTGAACGAACGAAAATCTTCGTTCGTTCGAAATTTGTTTATCTTAAGTCAAAGTATAGTATTAAGACTTATGAATTTGGAATTCTTAATTATTATACAGTAAATTTAGTGATTCGGATTTTTAATTAAGATGATTAGAATAATAAAAACATTCATTTATGATAGTCTTGATTTTTTTTTTGAAAATATATTTTAGTTAGTGCGTATTTGTAAGCTGTAACGGTAACTCAAAATTTACCGTATAATGCAAAAAAAAAAAAACTGATTACGGCAAGTTACGGAGCATATAAAAGCTTTACATAAACAACTATATCAGTATAACGCAAAGTTATAATTTAAAGCAAAAGTTATAATTCATTTATGACAGATTATGCGTCTGCATTACTAGTGCATAATGACAGAGCTAATGAAAAATATGTTCAAATTTTAGATTTGAAACTCGTGTACAACTTTCACATGAAACGTATTATTTGAACTTAATCTCATTCACTCGGACTTATGGAACAGGTCTGAACAGGACTTTTATCATCCCTAGCAAATCTATAATTGACGTATCGACTACATATGTTCTGTTTGAGAAACTTGAATTTAGACATTAATTTGTTAAAAACAAATAAGTTCTTTTCGAAATCCGTCCTCAATGAAACCTAAATTTGGTTCTCTCCTTTTGCTGTGGAGCTCTCCAAATTTATTGACAATTATTAAATATGTAGTACAAAAAACAAAACAGTTACGCCATGCCAATATTAGCATACCATTGTAAAGCTTTTTTTAGACTATTAGAGTAAAATAGTTAGCTCATCAGTCACTCTATTCGGAATAACTTTTAAAACACTGAAAAGGAAATAACCTAACAAATATGGATCAACCTGTCATTTTACATTAACAGTTACAACCAAATATATTTATATAATATGGATCAACAAAAAAACAATGGACAGTTTAAATATGGACATTTATTTTTTGCCAGTTTTCCTAATTCTGAAATGCTGAGTAAACGATCATTTAGTGTACGAAATTTTTTTTTTCACAAGTTTACAATATCTTTTGAGTTTAAAAATAAAAAAATTTATCACTCTTGTAATATCTACTTTTGATTCATGTCAACGTTCTTGATGTCAACGTTCTGTCAACATTCTTGATAACCAATTTGTTATTAGACATTATTCCAAGCTGTTCTATTGGCAAAGTGCGTTAGTATGCTCAAATAAACCATTAAAAATAAGTAAAATTTCTAAGCCTATATTTCTTGATTTTCCACACAATGTTCAATACATTTTTTGTGTTACATGTACGATATACCTTAGAAATACCTCTTGTATTAAATAATTAAATCAGTCATGCTCTACAACCATAGTAATCAGAATATGTTAAAGATATTCCCATTGCGATCAAATGCGAAAAAGAATTGTTTTTATTTAATCAAAATTACAATTGGCTGGAGCTGAGGGGACGAAGTGAAAGCCTTACTCTAGGGATGTCCGCCTCCCGCTTCAGCTGATCCATTCAATAAGCCAAAATTAAGTTCAAAGTTTGGATGCTGCAATCTTGGTTAAAAAATATAGTAGCCGACTTTTAATAAATTAGTTGTGCCACTAACAAAAAATATTCCTCACGCAATTTTACTCTAAACTTCTCGTACCCTTAACCTACTTTACAGAAACCTATGTTTTTTGCTAAATATGTTTACAATATATTTATTATATATTAACAATATTATTATTATATGATTTAAAATAGTATATAATAAATATACTTTGAATACATATTAATCATATAATAATTATATTTTTGTTCTTTCTGCTAACTCTCTTGTAACTTCATTCCTAATAATATGTTTGTTATATAGATACAATATAATTTTATATATAAAATAATCTGTTATTAATCTAATAATAACAGAATAAAATAAAAAAATTCCAATACTTTAATAATATAATAGTCCTATAATAAATATATAAAATTATTTATAATATGTTTATAATATGTTTATAATACTAATAAGTTTCTTACAAGAGAGTTAACAGAGCTTACTAAGATTTTTATTATATGTTAAATATATGCTGTTTATATTTTTATTATATGTTAAATATATGCTGTTTATATTTTTAAAAAATCAAGGTTTCTGTAAAGTAACCCTAACTCTAATTTAAAATTGTATTTACAAAACTTGTTATATTTTTGGGTTAGAGCTAAATATTACATTTAAAGTGATAAAGTTGTCGCATTTTAAAAGGGTTAACTATAATTTGTTGCAACTAAATTTAAAATAACATGATGAATGTAAACCAACTAGACAAAAAATAGTGAAAAATAATAGATTTTTTTAGTTTTTTGTCTAATAAACATTAAGACAGAGCAAATGCTTATTAAAAAACAAATAAACAATCTATTATACAATTTATATCAAGCACTAATTTAGCTAGACACTTCAACCTCCTGAAAAGGTTGAGCAAACAATTTAATATCTTCATTAATCATTGCAGCTTCATTTATCAAACGTTGCCTTAACATAGACAATAAGGTTTTGCCGTCTTTGGCAAATTGCCTAATACCTTCAGCAAGATTTTCAGTAGCCATTGCATCTTCATTCATTTCCATTTGAAAGCTTTCTCGTCATAAGTAATTTTTGATTCCAAACAATAACACGCTAATCCACAATAAATAAATAAATAAATAACATTTCCAAAACTTATAAATTTTAGCATACATATACATACCAGTATCAGGACTTAATTTTCTTTCAATC